GCTCTATAAATTGGATTGGTAAACAAAAAACTTGTCCAAACTTGTCGAACAATAAACTCATGGCGTCAATTGGTCGTCATGGCAACTTCACAATACCTACCCGTCATTTTATGGTAATAAGTAACAAAAATAATTAAATCCWCCGCATATGATACACGTAATGCGTGACGTATTAGAACATAATTAAATCCACCGCAAATATACTCGAATCCACCGCAAAATTAGTAAATCCACCGCAAAATTAGTAAATCCACCGCAAAAATCCGGCCCGTGCGGTGCGGCCTATACTAAAAAGAAACCAACTATAAAGAAACCAACTCGTACAACTGAAACTACAAATACTTTGTTGGACTTGATACTTGTTAGTGACACCTCTAAAGTTAAAGATGCTGATGTTATGGATTTTGTAATTGCCGWCCACAAATTTATTTATGCTGTTTATAACCTAATTCCAAAGAAACAAAATCCTTTGTTACTGAAATCCCAAAGCTTCAAAAATACCAACTTAGATCAACTTCAAARAGATATTGAGGATTTTCCTTGGTGGAGTTGCTCTACATTTAAAGATATAAATGATACAACTTGGGCTTGGGAACATTCATTTTTAAAAGAACATTGTTAATTCTCATGCTCCCTTCCGTGAAGTCAAGATCAAACAAGATTCTTTACCATGGATAAATAGGGACATCAGGAAGGAAATGAATACAAGATTTAAGTTACTGAAGTCCTATAAAGGCTCCCAATGCTCAACTCATCTTTGGAATGATATAAAGAATCAAGAAATAGAGTGACCTACCTCCTTAGAAAGGCTGAATCTAAGTATTGGAAAAATAAATTCTGTGAATCCAGAAATTCAAAAGAATTCTGGAATATAGTAAAAGCCTGCACTAATAAAGTAAAGAAATCCTCTTCTGTCAGAACTCTTAAAGATAATAACAATACTGAAATATCARATGACATTGACAAGGCAAATTTTATCAAACTCATATTTTTTACATCTATTGGTGAAAATCTGTCACGGAATGACTCCATTCCTGACGATTTTAACATGCTGAATCACAYTTATAGAATTTCTCCTACCATTCAATCTACGGAAATAAATGTTATCCAGATTGCTAAAGACCTTGAGACTGGTGAAAGCCAAGAAAGCCTCTGGTCCAGACGGCATTTCATCACAAGCCTTATCCCTGATAAATCTTCTGCTGCTAATGGTCTATTTACAATCTTCCACAAAAGCTCATGTTTGAACAAATTTCCTGATATATGGAAACAAGCCAAAATTACTCCAGTTCATAAAAAAGGTTCCTTCTCTRAAGTTTCAAATTACAGGCCAATTTCTTTACTCAGCATTCCTGGAAAGCTCCTAGAAAATCAAACTTGCTCTATCATTGATAGTCATCTACAAGATTGTGGCCTTATAAAATGACTCTCTTCAGAGGACTTACTTCTCACCATGACAGAAAAGTGAAAGCTAGCTATGGACAAAGGCCTAACTGTTGGAGCTATATTTATCGACTTTAAAAAAGCTTTTGACACTGTGTCACATGAAATCCTATCCTTAAAGCTCAATGCAGTTGGCATCTCTGGTCCATTACATCAGTGGCTAATGAACTACCTACTTGATAGATATCAATATACAGAAGTAAACAACAAAAGATCTGTCCTTCTTCCTATTAAATTTGGTGTCCCTCAGAGATCCTTGCTTGGCCCAAGRCTGTATACTATCTATACTAATGACCTACCTGATCAAGTAAAAGATGGCTCTGTCATGATGTACGCTGATGACACTACAATCTACTCAATCGGGTCAAGTGTTGCCCAAGTTATTTCATCTCTAAATGGTCTTATGGTACAGATATCTAAGTGGTGCTCTTTAAATATATTGACAATCCACCCTTCCAAAACTGAAGCTATGATATTAAAAAAGCAACAGTTTATTGGTCCTTTGCAGCCTTTACACTTTGGCCCTGGCTTTGTGAAGTTTGTTAATTTCACAACCTGTCTTGGTGTTACRATTGATAACAGACTCTCTTGGCATGCACAAGTGGACGTAGTTAGAACTTCTTTTTCCAAAAAAGTTGGTGCTCTAAGAAAAATGTCACATTTACCTAAGTTAGCCCTAGAAGAAATATATTTTAAAACAATTATACGTAGTGTTACTTATGGAATATCGGTGTGTGGAAATTGTTCCCCATCACTACTTAATAGTTTAGATCATATACATGCTCTAGYATGTCGTATAATTAATCATCTTCCCTCTTCATTAGAAAGTAGTTTATGCTTGTCTCAATGTAACTGGCTTCCTATAAATTATTTATATAAGAGACGCATATTACTTAAGATGCATCAAGTTTTCACAGGGGCTGCCCCTAGCCAAATTTTGGATTTATTTTCTAAATCATCTAGATCAACGAGATTTAGTAATCAGTTAAATATCATTCGGGTAAAGTCTGAATTAGGCAGGAGTTCTTTACAATATAGGGGTCCAAATATCTGGAATTTTATAAATAAGAAAGTCAAACTTACTAATACTATCAGTAAAGAAGGGTTTAAAGCAATCTTAAGAAAGCATTCTAAAGATATTCTCCAATTTTCATTTAACAAAGAAGCTATTGTTGTTTCACATAAGAAGGATGATTTTATTTATTATTAAGCCTATTATTAAGTTTATTTTAGTATTTTATTTATTTACTATTTATTTAATTTACATATAATGTGTACACCTGCTTGTGGGGGCTCTGTCATGGGGGGATGGTGGCCTGGATTGCTTGTGTCTCCTTTCTTCCTGTGGTGGCATTCTTCCAAGTAGGTGTATGTTCAGATTTTAATTATGATTAATTTAATCTTACACCAGTCCTTTACATTTCAAATTCTTTAGATYATAGTAGTGGTTATTATATTTTATCATATTGTTATATATATATATATATAGCAGGTCCACATCAGCCGTTGGCTGTCGATGCAATATTTGTTTTAAAATTTTGTAAACCTAACCTGMTTTAACAAATAAAGGATTGATTGATTGATTGACTACTTACCCGATTCTTTCAGACGACTATATCCTAATGTACGTTGTATTATCGACTGTTCAGAAGTTTTTACTGAGACACCTAGTGCTTTGGATATTCAGGCAGCCCTATGGTCAGACTACAAACACCATTGTACAATCGAATTCCTGGTAGGCATTACACCAAATGGGATGCCTTCATATGTATCTCAGTGCTATGGGGGTAGGGCATCAGACAAATTTATAGTAAAAGACGGTGGGTTTTTAGAYTGCGTGGAGCCATATGACCAGATAATGGCGGACAGAGGATTCAAGATAAGAGAGGAATTGCTAATGAAAAGTGCTTCCTTGTGTATTCCACCAAGCACAAGAGCAGGAATGCAAATGGCTGCCGCCGATGTCAGAGAAACATCAAGGATTGCGAATGTTAGAATTTATGTTGAGCAGGCAATAGGACGACTAAAACAATATCGAATTTTGAAAAATATCCTGCCAGTTAACAACTTACCTTTATGTGATGACATAGTGAAAGTTGTATGTGCACTTACATGCTTCAAAGCTCCATTGTGTGTTTGAATAACAGCACGAAATATTTTATCTTGAGTTCATTTACTTATGCACAGAATCCCAATTGGATGGGACAGGGTATTCTTGCACATTTTCAAATATACAGCTATTTAAAAAAACGTTACGGAGCCACACGTACCCACACCGCTAGGTAGCATGGGTAAAACATATCGTTTAGCTAGTAGAATTCAAGGTGTGAGAATTTTCACATATTTAACTAAACAAACTTGATCCCAAAATGCAACACAGGCTAGGACATACACTGTACATTACCAAAGCTCCCCTTGTGTATGCTTCAAATCTCATAAACAATAAATATAGTTCTGAAGTAAATATTAACAAATAASTGGTAACATGTATGTTAGTGCAAATATTTAAATAGATGTAACATTGGTATTAATAAAGTATACTAAATCGACAAGCTTCAACAGAGTGCAAAAAGTAGAGTACAAACACTAAAATTGTGCAACACGTTGCACTATTTAGTAGTAAAAAGTGCGGATTAAAAGATATAGATTTAGCATAATTTAGCAGAATTTAGTGGTATTTATGTTGCACACTTAAAGTGTTTGTACTCTATATGTTTGAAAGGTTGATAAACTCTAAAATTGTACTATTTAGATATTACAATCTTTTGCTTTCTTTTGTTTCCCTAAAACTAAATAGTACTAAATTACACTTAATCTTTCACACATTAAATATTTGCACCCTACTTGTAATTTATGCCATGTATTGAATAATGGTCCAATGATTTTCTATCGTGTTATAATGTCCGGTTGTTGTCAGAATTTGCATCTATGTGCACATTTCATCTGCCATGAGATCTGCAAGGCAAGCACTACAAAGCCACTCTTGGTCCTCATTAACGTTCGAGACACACCTTATGTGAAACCATGCAGCACACTTGTCACAGCAAACACTGTTTTCAGGGGAGCCATCAGGGAGCTCTTCACCCTCCAATACCACTTTCTCACATATTGCACAAAAATAGATAGTGCGGAGTCCAAGCAGARCCTTGACCATGTATGACTTGAAAAAACATAAAGTTTTAACAGTGCATTARCCCAAAAGCTAGCATCCAACTCAATAAGTTCAATGTGCAACTCCTTAAGTGTCCAAACCACAAAGTAACACTTAGGGATAGCAGTGACACSCATTTGCCCTATGAGTGGTAATAATACTTATGGTCTCTTTTAAGTTGTATCATGTTCTTCTTTTCTTCAAGAAAATCGGTTTCTTTCCAGCTGTCTTTAACAGATGAGCTCCGGATACTGTATGGACAMTTAATCTTGATTACTGCTTTTCCGCAACAAGAACATGTCATTAAACCATCTGGGCTTGCAGCAATGAATGGTTTTGCGTTTAACACATGTAAGCCAGTTTTTGCTATTTTGCAGTTTCTGTGCTTTGCAAGAGCAATGGCATGAAAATCGTGAAGGGCTTTGTCTTCATTCTGCCTCCCCCATTTTATTGCTGGGACATGGTCTAAATTGTCAGTGCCATATAGCAACTTTGCAGTCAATGGGGTTGTCTTTGGCTTGACTCTTCCACTTGCTCTAGCCAAGGAATCAACTTTAGAGCATACATCTTTGAAGTTTGAAGCAACAATTCTTCCCTTTCTGTGATTTGTCCACAATTCTGAACTCGATTGCCATTTTGTTTCCTTTTCAATGTCACTTACTTCCGCAGCAGTTAATGGCAGTGTTGCAAGAAATCCGTGTATTTTTTCTTGCTCAGTTTGTTCACTCTTTAGGGTACTGCTGTATTTCTTAGCATACTCAGTAATGTACAACTTTTCTCTTGGTTGACTGTGCAAGTGTGACTCAACACTCTTAAACACTTGTGCAGATGGGCAAATTTGTTTCAGTTGCGCTGGTGCCTGCAATGCAACTGCACTATCCACACACGACACTACCTGTTCTCTTCAAAGCAACCCACACTTCATGCGGATCTTGCCGTATACGATAGGAGGGAGTAACCACACTCTTCAAAACACAGTTCTCGCCCTTGTTTTTGGAAAAATAAATTGGTCCAACAAAGTTGCTTCTCCAATAGGAGAATGCCTTTTGATCTTTGTACTTTCCTATATATGTTGTATCAAATTCCTTGTGGGAAAGAATGAATGAGAAAATCTTCCCTAAATCAACATTGGGCCATTTTGTCATGTCGTCCAACCATTCAGTGGTAGATTTGGGATCATCCAGGTCATGGCTGGCA